TTAGAAACACAAAACCAACTTCGATACTTTCATGTTATAAATGTTTTCACTGCGTAATATTTACTGTTAATAAATCATTTAATGATTGTTAAGCATCGTTTTGTGTTTGGTTGACGATTTAATGCAATTGTGGTAATTAGTAATTTTGTGGAATTGTTAAGAATGTCTTTAACCTACAAAGTTGTGGTATTGTTTGCATAGACAAATATCAGCTGTCACTTTTAACTGCTCTCAAACACATACTTTGTAGTATAATTTACGAGCAGCCTGATGTAAATTCTAAGCAAGTCCAATTCATTTTTATTAGATTGTAAACGTTTGTATCAAAAATACTGTAAAATTTTTATTTTTTTGTATCTTTCATATTAGAAGCATTAATAATCCGACTCTTGCCAAGAGTAAGTACGTCTATTAACATTTACATATTTTTACATATTTTTCATATTCTGGCAGATAATATAACAAAAATGGTGGCTGGTCCTACGGAACATGGAACGCAGGCAGATGTAATATTTGTCATTGAAGGCACAGCTGTAAATGGAGCCTATCTTAATGATCTCAGAACTAATTATGTGGGTCCAACGCTCGAGTATGTTCTAAGTTACATATTTGTATTTTTATGCTTTGTTTCATAAAATAGGGTCCTTTTGCTTATTTCACATTTATTCATCTGCAATTTTTGTATTTTACAGATATTTCAATCAAGGTCCCATCGAAGATAGGGAATATGTGTCCGAGGTAAAATAATAAATGGTTCATTATCTTATTGCAGAATATATAATTACATCTGATAAATATCAATGTAATTTGTATTAAATTTGATGACTATTAATAAGTTGTTTCTATTTCTCTTTAGAATAGTTCAACATTGTATGGTATAGTGATATACCATGCTGCCGACTGTTTGCCAGCACCATGTACAGAAACTTTTGGGCCGTATGCCAATCCTCACAAGTTACAACTTGTTCTTGATAAGTTAGAGTAAGTAATGCAATTTGTTATGTAATAGTTTCTCTGTTTATATGAGGTCTTTTATAATTGAATAGGATGGTTGGTGGGAAAGGTGAGTCGTATGCAAATATTGGAGAAGGTCTTGCTACTGGATTGCAATGCTTCGAGGACTTACAGTTACGACGTGAACCGAATACAGCATCACAGAAACATTGTATTCTGATTTGTAATTCTCCTCCTTATCAGACGGTCATACAAGAGTCGTATAAATTTGCTGGCCATACCATAGAGCAGGTGGCTACTTTGTATCAAGAGGTACACAAATACAAATAATTTCAATATACAAATTGTATCATAGATCTATAGCAATATTTTCTCGTTACAGAGGAACATTAATCTTTCAATATTATCACCAAGAAAAATACCCGCACTGTTTAAAATGTTCGAAAAAGCTGGAGGTGACCTACAGTCGTCGCAAACTAAAAATTATGCTAAAGATCCACGACATTTGGTGCTGCTACGTAATTACAATTTGAAAGAAAGGCCTGTTAGTCCTCCAATTGGCGGTGCTGTTCATAACAATCCGGGCACAGCTGCACAAATTCCGTTGAGCCCATTGCAAAGCAATGACAGTCCAAATACGAATCAAGTTCAACAAAATATTGCTCAGCCAACCCAGTCACAAGGTCCTCCATTCAGAAATCAAACGCCCCAAAATATTGCTCCAGTTCATCAAACGGTGGTACCAATTCCGACTGTTATGAGTACTGGAAGACCACCCTACAATCCTCAAATATCCGCTCCACCAACTTATCACCCACCAGCACAAACAAGAACAGGCCCAAGATGGAGACCTTTTGTGACACCAGGAAACACTGGAGCCGCGAATCCTCAGAGCAGTGCCTTGATAGCACAGTTAAATCAGCCTCCTTCGTTGGGTCTTAATGTAACACCATTTGGTCAAAGAATGGACGGTAATAATGGATTCAAACTTTTAATAAATTTAGTCAGTAGAAAAGTGCTTAGCTGATTTGCAATATAATTAACGTATTTATTTGATGTAGTATTAATTATTATCGCCAGTAATTGTAGACAGTATCACAGCATATAGGATCATTTTATATTATTCGTGTTAAAAATTCGATCTTCTTACTTCTTTTCAGTTCTTCATAGTACTCACATGTTGCATGCACTTTCAGTAGCCAACACCAACGTTATGGCTGCCAATGCGCAACAGCAGCAGCA